ATTTTATTCATCGTCATCCTAAGGGTAGGAAACCCATCCTGCAGTCATCAATGAAGACTAAAAGTAAGTATATTTCTCTATCAAACATTTCTATAATAACCTCAATGGTGTTTTATTACGACGATGACATTAATTGTTCTTTTTCTTTTTCTGTTTCAGAACATCATTGCAATCGAGCGCGTAGGCAATGAAATACTCGTGTGTTGCTTCGTTAAAATAATATATAAAAAAGTCGGAAAGTAGAATCAGTGTTAATCGTCGTACGTGACAGTTTCGTTTGCTCGGTTATGAAACTCCGTAAGTTTCTTTTTTTAGACGTGTGCCCATCGTCATCCTAAGGGTAGGAGACCCATCGTGCATTCATCGATGGAGACACGAAGTGAGTATATTTTTGTATTCCATAATTCCACAAACATTTTAATGGTTTTTAGTAATAGTAATGATATTAATAGTATTGTTTTTTATTTCTGTTTCAGATTACAATCGTGCGCGAAGCAATATACGGGAGTGTTGTTATATCGTTTAAATATTATTAAAAGCACGGATTATAGAAGCACGTTCGTTCGTCAATTGCAATTCGTTCGTGTTACGCGATTGTATTAAAAATATTTCATATTAAATTGACTGCGACCAAAGCAGTAACTGCATTAGACTTTATTCGAAAAAAGTTATATTTTTATCTTTAAACAGTCGCACAGACTGTTCGCGTATTAGAGTAAGTGCATCAATGAAGATTTGGATACTTGCATTGACTGTGTGCAAAGCAGTCTTTGGAAGCAGTTGTAGAGTCAGTGATCGGGCGCATAATAAATTAAAATTAAACGCGARTTAGATTCAGTGTTGTTCGTCGTATAATTTAATTTCGGTTTCGCGATAAGAAACTCATCTATAGTTTCTTATTTTCGTTCATAACGCGTTATTAGATTCACGYGAGAKGCAYCACCATGATGCCACTGAGCTGCATCCCATTGGAATGCATTGTAAGCATTCATTTTTATTAATATTTTATTCCTTTTTGTTTGATATGATTTTGGATCATATTACATATAACTTATCATTTTGTTCTATTTTATTTTACAGATATGACAACGGACTTTCATGTGGGATGAATTCTTCGATGGATC